AGGACTGGAGTTGAGTTTGGGCTTTGTGACTTCAGATCTAGATCTGTGATTGTCCTTTTCAGTTATTTCAATATCTAAGTGGAGATCGTTACACTATCCGCAGGCCTCTTGTGAAGATGACATGAAAATGTCTACATAAGAGTTTGTCACGCGGGAAATGTATGTTTGATCGTGTTAGGAAGGAGACACGGCCTCCTTTGCTTCTGCTATGCCTGACTTTCCACTTTCTGGTCAACATAGTGAGAACTTGGGTTGACGCATAAATGGGGGATTCCTAGGGCTCCTTCCCGGATGGGACAGATATGAAGTCCTTGAAAAGGGAAGAACAGAACCTGAAAATGAGTAAAGACTCCAGAACAAAGCACAAAAAGAGAGGTTAAAAGACTCACTTCAACTTTTTCCAAACAAGTGATGGACATTTATACACAGTACACTAACTCTAGTCTCCACATGGGGCCTGAACTTCAGGGGGGGTGTGCTATTTAGGGGGATTTTGAGAATTAAATATAAACTGAGTAATTCTCAAAAATTTTCCATTTGCTTTGACAGGACGTCTTAGAAAGCTCAGTCTGGATCAGGTAAACCATATTTCCTTCTGAGGACAAGGGACAGACCATCCTGTAATGCTCTTCTTTGTTTAGGAATGCTGACTTTATGGGAGTGTAAAAGACATGGAAAAATAACTTTCTATGAATTAGTTACCTTATTACTTTTTCCTTTCTTAATGAACATTCAGAAGGAAATGACCAACATGGAAAAGTTACTCAATGTAGTTAAAAGGCTTTGGATTGTTCTGATTTGGGTAGAAATTTTAGTCTTGGTTCTGACTAGCTAAGGAAACTCAGGAATGATGTTGAGGTCCTCTGAATCATGCGTTCTCCATTTGTATGTTGGGGTAAGGACACTTGTCTTCAAGTTGTTTTTTTTTTTTTTTTAAATTATGTACTGTCAAGTCTGATCTGAGAGGTAGAGGAGGAGATTGCCCCTCCTTCTGCAGCAGAGCATCTGGTGGATTTGAACTGTGTACTTCTGGGATTGCAGCGCAGCTTCTTGCCACTAGGCCACCAGAGCTCACCTGTCTTCAAGTTTTGCTGTAACAATTGAACATGATGATAACTAAGAGACATAATGCCAGTTATCTAGTCATAGTAAGTACTAACTCTTTTCTTCTGTCCTTAATGCTATTATGGACCCTGGCAATGTATACATAAAACACCCACAATTTTAGTCTTAGTCTTTCTTCTTCTTTATTCTAAATAAAATTAATTTTATTTAATTTTATGCAATTAGTTTGCCCACTGGGTAGAGGAAAAAACAGCACAGAAGTTAACCATTGGCACAAGTACTCTAGTAAGGCTGTGATCCAATAACCGCTTCTATTGTGAAGAAAATGATGAGAACATTTGTGTATCCTAAGAGGGAACTGCAATTGAGTTCTGGGAAAACATGCTTTCTTTTCAGTTTTATAATTTGTTGTTTTTCTTACGAGATAGGACAGGAACAATTTGTATCATAAGAAAACACAGGCTTCGAGATCCAGAACGGGGCCAAGAGTATTCCTTTGTATCTTCTTCTGGTTTTAACCAGTTTCAGGCTTTGCTTGTTTCAAGGAGAAAGGATGAACTTTGTGGAATTCTTACAGATAAGCAGGAGACTAGAAATCTTAGTTTATATTGACTGCTTGCTTATTTCTCTGCATTGAACAGCGTAGCACGGTTCAGAATAAACAGAAGTTATTTTGAGTGTTCTCCAAGATTGATTTCTGATCCCTGGACATCTTGGAGGAAAACCAGTCTAAGCAAAAGTTAAAGGCACAAAAGGAATTGGACGTGTAGCTTTCTGATACCCAGGCAGGCTCTGCTCCCTGGATGTTCACTTCTTTGTCTATTAAAGAGGAAATACGAACTGGTGACCTTTGAAATCCCTTCCAGGTTTTTTGTTTTGTTTGTTTTTAAGAAATGTTTATTTTTTTTTAAAAAACAAAGAACATGAAATCTTCAATTGCAAATATTTGACCTAATAAATATGAAATGGTTTCAAAATTTGAAACAAGTCACCTAAGCTTTTTTTTTAACTAAAATTGCTTTCAGTGGCTCATCTAAAACAAAATAATGTCCATCAGGAGGAAAGCAGTGACTTGTTTTTCATACAATTTAAAAATTCTATTTCTTGTCCCTATCACTCACCACTCTATTAGCATTAAGGGTTATTAAAGTTTTTTTGTGGTGGTGGTTTTTGTTTGTTTGTTTGTTTTTTAAAGGAGTCCATACAGAGTCTCTTTGTTACTGTAATAATGTATAGAGAAAAAAGTTATTCCTTGACCATTAGTAAATATTTGAGATAAATGGACCAGTTACTTCCTAAATCATTACATTTCAGAAAAGATTTTCCTTTTAAGCTAAAATATATTTTGGTATATAAAACTCAATTACCATTTAAACATCCATGAAGGTCCTTATTTGAGAAGTTTTGCCATTAGTTAGACAAAATAACTCGACTGTTCTCTGTATATATATTGTTGTTGTTGTTATGTGCTGTAGAGTCCCTTGCAACTCATAGCAACCCTATGTACAACAGCCCTAAACCCTGCTCTGTCCTGTGCCAATCTCACTGCCTCTGACACTCCCATCCTGATTACCCCAGTCACTGAATCAATCCACCTCATAGAAGGCCTTCCCCTCCTGCGCCATCCCTCCACCCTACCAAGCATGATGTCCCTCTCCAAGGACCAGTCCCTCCTAACAACATGTCCAAAGTATGTCAGACGGAGCCTCAGAATCCTTGGCTCCAAGGAGCCATCTGGTTTAACCCTTTCCAGGATGAATCTGTTTGTTTTCCTAACAGTCCATCGTACTCTCAATACTCTTCTCCAGCACCACAGCTCAAAGGCATCAATTCTCCTTCTATCCTCCTTGGTCATTGTCCAACTCTCTGACACATAACAAGTGATGATTATAAAGACCATGGCCTGTATCAGACGCACCTTAGTCTCCAGAGAGACACCATTGCTCTTCAGTACTTTGGATAGTATGTGTACTGTATATATAACTCACATAAATATATTTTTCCCTCTTAAATACCAGTTTCCAGTTTTAAATTCTCTGGTTTACGTTCTACCATAACAAAAAAACCAAAACCAAACAAACCCAAAGCAACCCAACAAAAAAACACAACATCCACACAAACAAAACAACCAAGAAAACAAACCCAAACTGGTGAGATTTAGAACCACTTTTCAGTGTAAACTCTCATAGTCTCTTTGGTAGGGAATTGTACTGCCAACCCCATAGCACAAGGTTCAAATCTACTGGCTGGTGTGAGGGATAAAGATGGACAGTCTCCTCCTGGGAAATCTATGGCCTCTGAAAACTCACTGAGGGGGTCAGCAACGAGCTGAATTTTTCCAGTGTAAATTATTTACCACTCTCGTTCCCCTCTTTTTCTTTACTGTAAACCACACCGCTGTTCTGAGCTCTTACGATGTCCTTTTGGTCCAGCCCATTATCTTGCTCACATCTCGGCCCTCCCAGGCAAATTCCCTGCCATGGATCAGACCCTGGAGTGGGCTTTGGAACCATCTTTCTACTCAGTCGTGGGCTGACAGAAGGACAGACAAGTCTATCTGGGAGGAAGGACAACCAGGGTGTTCCCCGAGAGACAAGATAGTGAAACTTCCTCTCAAATACTCTGGGCATTTTTTCAGGAAGGGCCAGTTTTTAGAAAAAGGACAATGCTTGGGGGGGAGGTAGAGTGTAAGCGATGCAGAGGAAGACTCTAGCAGTCCATCTAGAGATGGACTCACACGGTGACTGTAACAATGGGCTCAAACATGGCAGAAATTGCGAGGATGGTACAGACTAGGACAAGGTTCAGATCTGTCGTTAATAGGGTAACAGGACCCAACAACAATAACAATGACCACCATTCAGCCCACTTAACTGTCCTCAGACCCACCTGCCAACTATTGAGGTAGTGGTTAAGAATTGTTCTTTCCCTAGTTCCAGACCCAGGAACACTCACCTGCTCTGCGCTTATCCTCTCCCAACCTCCCTTATCATCTTGTCCATTGATGTGCATGCCTGTATCGTCTGCTCATCTGTAGATAAAGTCTGTGCTGTGGAATAGCTTGTGCACAGGCTGTGGCTCGGGCAGCCCAAGCTTCAGCTCCTGATTACCACACACCCCGTGTGCTTAGTAAGAAGTCATTTGGCTGCACTGCGAGTTTCTGTATCTGCAAAACTAGAATGGCATTCTCTTCCTTGCCAGATCCTTGTGATTATTAAAGGTGATATTACATGCAAACCACTTAATGCCCTGCTAGGCTAATTGCAAGTGGCCGAAACACTGAGTTGATTCTTGCTGTATGTACAGAATGGGTCCTCAACAAGTGTTTGTGAAACACTACCACCCAAATGTAAGAAACACATTTTCAGAGCGTTTAGTTGAACTAAGATTGAAAAGTGCTGAAGAGGGTGCCATGAATATTTACTTGAAAATATATCTTAGACCAGTGACCAGATGGAAGGCCAGCAATGCAACAGATGTGCCAGCAAAGGGCAGCACGGGCGAATCTTTTTATTACGCCCTAACCCTCAATGCAAGTGTCCAGGGGCCGTTGCTAAAACTATGCGCTACCCCTAAGCAGTCCATTTTCAAGGTGAATGGACATTGATAGTGTGTTAAACACACTAACCCCTCCTCCCACTTATTCTCCTGTCTCAGTCAGGTGCCTTCCTGTTTGCGGGCCCCAGCATTGATATTGAGCATTCTGTGGGCACCCTTTGGACGTGAACGCTGGGGCAAGCACCTCTGTTCCCCTCTATCCTGCTTCTCGGTCTTGCTCTAGATTTTCACTAAAGCTGGAGGAAGGACGTCGGGCTGAACTTGAATAATAGAAAGTGGTCAATGGTGCTCGCACTTCAAGAGGCGCCCAGGCCCCGCAGCAACCCCGCCACACCTTGGACACACCTCTGCGTATCGGGTTTGAGGAAGGCACTCACCCCTGACCAGCCGTGCGGCAGGAACTGGCCCTCCGCCCAGTACTTCCCATTGATGAAGAAGAGGCCTGCAATCATGATGAACACCCACACCGCCAGGTTCAGCACGTTGAGGACGTTGTTGAAGCCCACGGAATTCTTCACTCCCAGGGCCACGATGATGGTCACGATGACCGCTATTACCAGGGCCAGCAGGTCCGGGTAGGACTCTTCACCTTTCCCTAGACGGGAAGACGCAAGGTCACATTGCTGTGAGGGGAAAAGAGGCCAAGAACGTTCCCTCCAAGGACCACAGCCGATTCACATTCTGCTCTGACAAGACAGGTCAGCCAGTCACGGAGTGGAGAGAGAAGCAAGGGTGTGTGCACGTGTGTGGAGTCTGTATGTCTGCAGGCCTGTGTCACAGTTCACAAGCAGATAGAAGCATCTATTTGCCAAAGGGCAGGCTTTGATATGCAAGTGAGATGACCTGGTATCTTGAACCAAAATTTGGGCTACATCATGGATTTTTTCTTTTTCTTTTTCTTTTAAGATGTAACAAATACAACAATGATTGATTGATTGATGAAACAATGGGACTGGGACTAACTCTTTGATGCCAGTGTAGTTTTAGGACATTTGAGATGTGTAGGTAGGCCTAACATGCTATTTGAAAATTCTTTTCTCTGGATAAATTGTAAATACTTCTCTTTGATGCCAATAAACTTTTCCTTCTTATAAATGTTAAGCATTTTCGTCTTTGAAAAAATTCCCAAGAGGACCCTCCCCCACCTCCAATGCATACGTGATTGCAGAGAGAAAGTGACCAAGGATGCTTCGCCCTGCTGGGCCCAGCTCATCGGCCAGTGGACTCCTGCCCTCTAGAGAGTGGAACAGGCATTGCACTCTAGTCTGCAATCAGCTGTTCGGTGGCCAGTAAGCAGCTGTGTGACTGGGCAAGTCTACTACCTAACCCACTGCAGAACGCTGACGCTGCTTTACATTTGTTTTTGTTTTTTATATTATAAGGCAGTGGTGAACATCATTTTGGTAGAACATTTTTATAGATAAGAGTGGCATCCACTTCCTAAACAACTTGCCTCCGGAAACTCTAGGAACTTTGATAAATGTCGATAGTCATAGAAAAATTTCAGTCCTTTTGTTCATAGGGTTGCTATGAGTCGTGCTCGACTTGAAGGCAATCATCATCATCATCATCATCATCAACAACAACAACAACAACAATATGTGTACTGTTTATATACCTTGCCATATTTTTAGGTCAAAACCAAGACACTGACCAGGATTACCAGAATTCACCAAACCAGCTATCCTTTTTTCTCCTCCCTGTTTCCTCCAGAATTCAAAATTCATAATTAGATATCAGCTAGAATTAATGAGAGCCCATTAGAGTGAGTGAGGACATAGGCTACATAGAAGGGGCTAAAAAAAAAAAAAGGAAATATATTGGAAGCAATATTCCTTAGGGGGTATTGACAGAGGAAGAAACACTTTTTAAAACAAAACAAAAACAAAAACAAGACATTTTAAGCCTTTTAGTGTAGTTTCCCAAGTTGCATCCTACAAGGGAGAGCCCATTGCATTGGTTTTCTGGGCTCCCCCTTCGGAGTGGGAGGCTATGCACGTCTCACCTAGGCCGTTGAGGGTTCCCACAGTGTCCACCATCCAGTGACTGATGGTGTGGTTTGCCAGCGAGTCAAACATGCTGCTCAGAGCGCTGGCGCCGGCGGCTGTGCCGATCAGGTACTCGAGGATCAGGTTCCAGCCAATGAAAAACGCCACGAACTCCCCCACGGTGACATAGCTGTAGGTATAGGCTGAGCCGGTCGTCTTGGGGACACGCACCCCAAACTCTGCGTAGCAGACACCTGTAAGGGGCAAACACACACAGGTGGGAGAACCTCAAGAGACTGAGACCCACACCCATGTTTATAGTGGCTTTGTTCACAATAGCAAGGAGTTAGAAACAACCCAGGTGCCCATCAACAAACGAATGGATAGAGAAGCTGCGGTATATTCACACAATGGAATACTATGCTGCATTGAAAAACAATGAACTCATGCAATATTACTCAAAATGGGTGACCCTGGAGGACATTATGCTGAGTGAAATATCTCAGTCACAAAAGGACAAATATTGCATGGTGCCACTGCTGTAAAATGGGAGTGATATCAGGGTGGGGGTAAGACTGAGAAAAACTGGATAAATTGTGTATACTGCACTGAAACAGATGAGGGAGTGAATAATTTTGAAGCAATTTATGATAGGGTATTATAGTTATCACAAGAGTCCACAATTAAGGTTGCATAGTGGAATGTACTTGGGGTTGTGTGAGGGGTGCAGGAAGCGGGGGGGATTGTGTACCAGGGAGGGAGTGTTTTTTTTTATTTTTAAAAGAAAGGAGCAAACTGGGGCGGGGGAAGGGCTGGGCAGGGAGAGAAGTGCAGCAATGAATGAATGGAAATCCAAAATCTCTGTAAATGTTCATTAAAATTATTTTTTTAAAAAAAGAGACTGATCCCACACAATATTGTACTGTGAATATTGGAAACCTGAGATTTTGGAACACATCCACAAAGTTTTTGAAACACATGAAGTGATTAAAAATCAGCTTTAATATCCTCCAAATATCACTGTTGTAAAAACGAGTAGCTTGAACATCTCGTTTCTGAAAAACTCAAAACAAAACAAAAACCCACCAAACCTGGTAGCTTGAATACTGAGAGACAATTTGACCTAATTCTACTGGACAATTTGAAAGCATCTTTTATACTGAGAAAAAAAAATCATCTGTTGCACTTGTTTTTGTCTTATTTGTTGTTCTTAAGGTGTCAGGAGTCCTGTCCTTGGGTTTAATTCAGTATGACCTCCATAGATGACGATGTCAGAATAATATTATGCAATAACAGTACTTCCATTAGATTTCACATGTGAGAGAAGGTCTTTCTCATTTAGGGGTGATACTTTTTTTTAAATTTTTTTATTTTTATTTATTTTTTTTTAATTTTGTGTATGTGTGTCTGTGTACCGTCAGATCAGATCTGACTGGTACAGGAGGAGATTGTCCCTCCTTTCCCGGCAGAGCATCTGGTGGATTTGAAGCATGCGTCTCTGGGATTGCAGTGCACCTTCTTGCCACTAGGCCACCAGAGCTCCCCTAGGGGTGATATTTTTGAGTGATCCTAAAAATGCTGTACTTTATCTCAGTGAAAAATCCCATCCCAATTCATTGCTGTCAATTCAGAATTGACTCATCACTGACCTACCTACCAAGTTTTCAGAGGCTTTACATTGTGTGAGGGGAGACTGCCCATCTTTCTCCTATGGAGCAGGTGGTGGATTTGAACTAGTTGGTTTTAGATTGGCAGCTGTGCTGCGATCCCAAAGGCACGTGGTTCGAGGCCACCAGCTGCTCCTCAGAAGGATAGACAATCTCCTCCCATGTAATTAACAGCCTCTGAAAACCCACCAAAGGGTAAGCTTTGGGTCTGTTCTGACTCTACGGTACACGACAACATCAGATCAACTCCTTACCCACAAGGTCATCAGAGGCGTTGAAAAGAATTCAAACTCACACAAATAAAACATTCAGTGTGCTTACTAAGTCCTTGGATGCTAAACGCTGGGAAAAGAAGAGATAAAATGAGATATGTCCTTTTTTGTCAAAAGAAGATACATCAGAAAATCAGTATGTGTAAACTCTACAGTGTGGACAAGTATGGGAATGATGAGGGCAGAGAGGAGAGATGTGAGTCTGCTGGGTATGGAGGAATATGAGGAATTATTCAGATAAAGATGAATGAAAGGTAAAACCATGGTGGAGGAAGCAGTGTGTTGTATCGAGGCAGAGAGGACTAGACAGTGGACTGGGAGGAGAGAAGGCACAGGGCAAACAGAAGCTGTGTGTTTTCCCACATGAGTTCAAAGTCCATTTCCACCAGGATCTTCCACTGTTTCTCCATCCCAGGGAATAAGAATGAGAAGTCCACATTCCAACAGGTAATGTTCATGTTCACTTGCATTTTGAAAATATTGGAGCATGCCTCCTCCTTCTTCTTCTTGCTAAGTACCATTGAGTTGAGTATGGGTCATAGCAACCCTTTGAACAATAGAGTCGAACTCTGCCCCAGTCTGTGCCGTCTTTGTAATCTCTGACAGTCTTGAACAGAACCCATTGCCATAGTCATTGTGTCAATCCATTTTGTTGAGGGTTATCTTCCCTTTCACTATCCCTCCATCTTTCCAAGAATGGGGCTCCTTTTCAAGGAAAATCTTCTCCTGGTAACATGCTCTAAGTATGTGAGATGAAGCTTCCCTATCCTTGCCTCCAAAGGTCACTCTGGCTGTGTTTTCTCCAAGACATCCGTTTGTTCTTTTGGCATCCACGGCATGTTCAGTATTCTTCTATAAGAACACAATTCATCTTTAGTTTGATGTTGTTATTGTTGCCAAGATGCTGCCAAGTCATCTATGACTCATAGTGACTCTATGAACAATAGCTCTGGACCTTGCCCTGTCCTGAGCCAACCTCAATGTCTCTGACACACCAACTCCCATTGTGACAGTCGCTGTGTCAATCTATCTTATCCAGGGTCTTCCTCTCCTGTGCTGAACCTCTACCCCTCCAAGCATGGTCTCCTTTCTCCAATGACTAGTCCTTCCTGGCAATATGTCCAAAGCACGTGAGAAGGAGCTTCAGAATCCTTGCCTCCAAGGAACAATTTGGTCCTACCCTTTCCAGAACAGATCTATTTGTTCTCTTGGTATTCCATGCTATGTTCAATACTCTTCTCCAGAACCACAACTCAATAGCATTGATTCTTCTATCATCCTGTCACTGTCCAGCTCTCAGATGTAGAGCAAGCAATTGAGAAGACCATGGCCTGGATCAGGTGCACCTTAGTCTCTAGACTGACAGCGTTGTTCTTTAGCACTCTTGAGAGGTTCCTTGACAGCAGACTTTGCTAAAGCAACTCGTCTTTTGATTTCCTGACTGCTGGTGCCTAGAATGTTGATTGTGAATCCGAGCAAGCTGAAATTGTTAATCATCTCAATCTTTTCTCCGTCTATTCTGATGTTAGAGATCTAATTGGGAAGGAACTGGGAATACACAGCCCTCTGGAAGTTGGGAGGGTTTTTTTTCTTTTCTATTATTCTAAGAATGTGGGTATTGGTTCTATGAGTAGAGTGACCAGAGGAAGGACACAGGAGAACTTGGAGAAAATACACCAGAAGTATGGGAAGAAGGATGTAGGAAAGGACCCCAAATCAACTCAAAGTTCAGCACTCATTTTCCTAAGAGCCAACTCTGAGGTTACCTCATCACAAATCAGCGAACAAGAGTTCACTGTTCAGAGAACTAAGACAGCAGGTCTCTTCAGTGCAAGGAAGCTAAATATAGAGATGCCAGAATCAGTGACACGGTAAATGATTAAATGTGATATAATATTTCTTTTCCTTCTCCTCCATCACTTCAGTAGTTGGAGGGTCTGCATGGAAAAAGGTTGGGCTCTTGCTTCAACTTAACCTTGAACTGGCCTTGAAAACCTGGGCAACCTCTTTACCCCTTCCGATTCCACCTCCACATTAGTCAAGTAAAGAAATAATACTGAATATCTCTGACGTCATCTTTTATATTCCTTTTTGCTGCTGCAAAATATATCCAGCATAATTGAAACTTTTCTATGGCACCAATTACCATACTGTCCTATATTAGGAAGATGCTCTCAAGGACTATGCAAGCCATTTGTCCCTACGTTTAGTGGCCCAGGGTGCTACCTACTTTGAGTTCTTATATCCACCCCTCACCATGGCTTTGCAACATTGACCCCTGTCTCCTTCTTTGAATTAACTCTGTGGGTTGTTAATTCTTGTTGCTGGTCCAGTGCTTTCCCTGAGCAATCGAAACATCTCCCTTTCTAACCTGCTGGTCCCAATACCTGATGTTTAAATTGTTAGCAGTTTTAGTTTGCTTGGCTCCACAGTTAACACTCCTGGTACCAGCAGCCAGGAAAACAAGAGACGAATTGCATTGGGAAAGTCAGCTGTCAGGGACCTCTCAAGAGTACTGAAGAGCAATGTCAGGCTGGACACTAAGGTGCACCTGATCCAGGCTATAGTCTTCACAATTGTGTGCTATGCATCGGAGAGCTGTATAGTGACTAGGGATGATAGAAAAAGATAATTGATGCCTTTGAGCTGTGGTGCTGGAGAAGAGTGTTGAATATACCATGGACTGCCAAGAAAACAAACAAGTTCATCCTGGAGAGGGTGAAGCCGGGCTGCTCTTTGGAGGCAAGGATTCTGAAGCTTCATCTCACGTAGTTTGGACATGTTGCAAGGAGAGACTAATCCTTGGAGACTGACGTCATGTTTGGGAGGGAGGAGGGACAGCACAGGAGAGGAAGATCCTCAATGAGATGGATCGATTCAGTGATTGGGGTGGTGGGAGTAGGTGCGTTGGAGACGGTGAGGTTGGCACAGGTCAGAGCACAGTTTAGGGCTCTTGTACATAGGGTCGCTATGAGTCTCAAGAGACTCAACAGCATAAAACAACAACAACAACAACAACAACAACTTTAAAATTAAGAAAGACCCTGCATAGGAAGGCCTGATTTTCCCCCTTGTGAAGAAAATCTTGAAGAGTTGAAGGATGGGGAATGGGGACCTGGTCACACTTTCTTGGAGGACTTACATGGTCTCTTCACAGGGTTCTTGAGAGTTGAATTTGCTTATGCATACTTGGTTGTTCTTTTAGTGCATGCGAGGAAGAGATTAGGAGATAACGAATTACCTCTTTTACTCTTTTACAATTAGCTCTGGTGGCCTAGTGGGTAAGGAATTGTGTCATCAACCCAAATGCAAGTG